CCTCTACCTGGACATAAACTTACATCGAGAGGAATGGATCCAAACAAATAACACAAACAAAAAAATAAACAAATAAACAAATGGTCAAGCACTTTATTTACACTCTCTTTACAGTACGCGGTAAATACTTTAGTTGAGAGGAAACAACTTTTTTTCTGGAACTCTCTTCAACTGTTAAAAAAATATTTTAAGCATGTACAATACGTGGCTAGAGGCAAAAAGAACAGCCAAAAACAGTTTATGGCTGATATTTGTTGGTTATGAATTAAAATATTTTCACTTGTTCAAAACACGAAATTGATCCTTTTCCTCTAGAATTTTCTATTAGTTTTGTTTATTTTCTTTAGTTTTAAACTCTCAGGCAAACCAATTTGTCTTCTGCTATCACTTCACGGCTCGCTCACTTAGAAGACGATTTCACTGAGCATTATTTAATCTTCGGAGCCAGGTCATGAGCTTGTAGAAAGGTTATCCCCCTGAAGCGCAAGTTATACGTCTGTATACCTTCAGTTAGGCACCAGTCTCCCACAAGAGACGGACCCGCAGATGCAAGAGGTTGATTCGTCAAATTGTCAACGCTGTTGATCGGTGATGGCTGTTTCTTATAAGTTAGTTATTTTATTTTATGCTTGCTGAAGTGATAGTGTTTATTATAAACAATACGTAATTTAGGACCCGCTGTTCTCATTTTCCAACGAGAGAGCCGAGAGAAATAACTCGGTGACTAATATAATCCAAATGCACCCAGAGATTGCGCCATGAGCATCTGTTGTTCTGTAGAATTAACCCCTCAAACTTACAGCCGTCTCTGTCTATGTAAAAATTTAATTGTAGCTTTTGTTATTTTAAGTCTGCATCTCCTCGCGGTAACAAGTCAAGAAAAAAGAATTAGTTTTGACACAAAACCATAAGTGAAGCATGTTCATTGTGAACGGTTGGATCTTTCTTGGAGCAGTTTTCAAATCTCCGCCTTTCCCCGGCTTGCGCCCTTTGATTAAAAAACTTATTCGTTTGCCGAGATTTTGGACCTTGATATTCGTATTCGTGCTCGTTGTCATCGGGAATGTATTGACAGCGCAAGTTCCTTACTCGTCACACCAGTTTACAAATTTAGAACTATGGTAGCGGTTTGCTTTACGTTTTCCCTGAATGCGTTCTTTGTGACAATGATTCTTGGAGCTCTTAACGAAACGAAAGTCCGCCAGATGGCACCGGGGCAACTGCGCTTAACATTTAAGGGGGGTCGTGATTGTCTTCTGCTTTCGATTGCTTGTAGATCTGATTACTACAATACAATACTCAACTATAATCTTATATTTGATTGCTGGAGTGAAGGATAACTATTGACGGCAGGGAGGCACGATTATAAACTGTGTAAGTAGGTTTCATTTCCTGCCGTTTCACTAAAAAGGAACTGAACTTGTGTGGACAAAAATATTTCGTGATGACAAGAACATTATAAGGAAAATTAGGGGCCTTCAGAGACAAGACAGTGGTTTAGATATCGGAATCCAGGCTGCTTGATAATTATCAATGACTTTCTCTTCAGCAGTCCGAAGAAGTTATGGGTTCTGTATTTCTACCTTTTAGCAATAATACTGTCATAAGATTTGATTACGAAGCAAACCACTGCAAGCTATTTTACGTGAGAGTTCGTATCTCAAAATACCAACGACTTGTCTAGCAGATAAACAGTGCATCACTAACTTTCTATAAACAAATTGCGATAAATCAAGTCCAAACTACGTGGTGGCAATAATAACTGCAAAGGATAACAATTAAATTTGTAATTCATCATAAATCGAGAGCAACCGATGACGGCCTCTTTCCAGATGTAGCTAGAAAAAAAATATCTGATTCTGGTACACAAAGGCAACAGACCTGCAGTCTCCTAGCTTAAGCAGCAATGACGAAACCCCTCTTTACGGTACACTGCAGCTCAGATAAAGTTAGACAGAGGCTACCAAAATCGAATTAATAATCAGAAACTTTCTCACAATGAATACGAACGATCACAATACTGGAAACAGCAACATTAGCAGTAGTGGTAGTAGTAGTAGAAGCGGTAGAAGTGGAAGTAAGTCCTTTTATTACATTTGTATGTATTTATCGATATTAAAGTATAATGTGAAATCTCCCAATCTTCTTGAAATCTGAGATCTGAAAGTATCTCAATTCAAAAAATATCCGTTCAGTACGCTAAAATAGTCGTTTTTTACCATCATTTCCAAGTTCGCTTCTTTTTGTCTGTGCCTTTAACGTAAAAACAGGACACGGCCGCTCAAGTAGCTTGGGTCAGGTCAATTTTCTCTCTATCGAGAGTGGTGATAAACTATTTGGATAAACTGCTGAATTTGGCAATAGATTAGATTAGGTCATCCTCGCTCCTGCATAAGGAGCATAACGCGTCGACCGTGGATCACCGCTAGCCAGGTATTGTTTTGGTTTAAAATATCTTTTTACAGCTGATTTTTTCTTTTTGAGCCATTGTACTTGCAGTAGGGTAATAAAATGAAAAAGATAACATCGTGCTGTCAAAATTCGTATTTAAAAAAAACTAATTGCTATGATTCTACATTTTTTTAAAAGAAGTAGACAACACGCAATGAAATATTTTAACAGCTTGTCCTCTAGACTGTTCAGTGAAACTTTTCAACTATTGTCATTTATCTAGGCAGGGATATTCTACAAGTACGAGCCCTTAAATGTGCACTGGTTATTACTAGCGTTCAGGCCTGTTCATGAGCAAAACAAAATGGGCAGTCAAAACTGTGGAGTTATTACAAACTACATCGAAATGTTGTTCATTAATAATTAATAAGCGTCGCATATGATGTGGCATGATGAATCCCTCTCTCGAGAAAACTGTTTACACAAGTTTATTGTAGCCTACTTAAATTCCCACTCGAGTATACTTTGCGAAAACAAATTTTTGAACATTTTCTCTCAGCATGACACCCAAAGTGCGCGGCGTAGTTTTTTGAACATCAACTGATCTGAAAGCCTATGTCTTTCAGTTTCCAACCTAGTCGCATGTCAGTCGATCCCAAAGATATACATGACACTTTCACTGTAAGTCTCCACCTTTCCTCCCTTTCATTCGAATGCGAGATGATTCGTCTCTTAGTCGTTTTAAACACCAGAAATGGGGATGAAATCCAGCGGAGTTTAGCATTTGGCTGGATGCTAACATGTCTATATCAATTGTTTTCGTTAACTTGCATACACATGATATTCTTCAACATTCTATTGATTAAAAATGAGCTCAAAAATGATAATAACAACTTCCCATCGGAGATATGTTTTTCAGCTTAGCACCTTTAATTTCCTTTTTGCTTTATAGAGATAAACACAATACTATTTATCAATACTGGTTTCTGGCTCTCAAACAAATTGCGACACTCATGATACTGCATTTCTCCAGAAATCAACTATAGTAACTGCGATCCAACTTTGTAATGTAACAACTAATAAATGGACACTGACCCTTCCCCTAAACTTTGTATTACAGCGATGAATGACTTACGCATAAACTCTTTTAGAGAAATATTTAATTCTCTGTTTAACAATGATAAGAAAGTGGGAGGCTGTGCTATCTTCTAAAAGTGATGATGACTGGGCGACAACCCTTGTTGAAATATCTCATCTACTGTCTTCGTCAACTATGTCCTATATGTTATAGTAAGGACTGGATTCATCACAATTTGACAGATCACAGTATGTTACATCCCTCGTCATTAAAGCCTCAAGTTTGTCAATCAACCCCGAAAAACTGGGGCGAGTTGTTGGATCGTCCTCCCAGCATGACGTCATCAGTTCGTATCTTTCAGAATGAAAATGAAACACACTTTTACATATAAGTTGTGATGAAAAACAGTCAAAAAGCAAAATTTGCTAGGAATGGGAATAATTAAAACAGTACGATGGAAAACTCAGTAAGTAAAATTTTACTCACACTTCATCGCAGCACATATCAGGTTTTTCCATGCGATAGCCATTCTTTAGAAGTTTAGAGAGCTCTGTATTGGTAAACGTAGGGTATGGGGCACCGCCTTAATTACAACAGAAGAAAAATACGTGGATGCATTGAAGAACAAAGAACTTTGACAGCATGAACAACGATAATGATAAAAACAATACATATCTGACGAGTATAGCTTATTTAACTTACCCATAGTAGCCATTTCCCAGAGAAAAATTCCGTAAGACCAACTGCGAAAATTTTTAAACATAAATTATTAAATTGGGACTTGCGCCATTTCTGAGCAAGACTAAAAAACAAGTGCTAAACAAAGAAAAGAGACGATTTGCTGAAATAGAAGCACTACACTCAGTAGTAGCTCCAGTCTACTTACACATCACTCTTGATAGTGAAAACACCCTTGAAGATGCTCTCTGGTGCCATCCATTTAACTGGGAGCTTTTTGTTTTTCTCTATGCTGTAAATGTCCTCGTACACTTGGCGCATCAACCCAAAGTCTGACACCTTCACTCGTCCATCTCGACCAACAAGGATATTACGAGCTGCAAGGTCACGATGAACGAAATCATTTTCGGCAAGGTGATTCTTGAAAAAAAGTAAAAAATAAAGTGCTGAAAAAGGTGTAACTGTAAACAATATAAAATGATGTCAAGAATGATCGTCAGGTATGGTTGTCTGCGTAAGGTTTCTTCTTCTCACTGATTCAATCTATCCTCTTACCATTCCTCTAGCTACTTGCCAAGCAAACGAAAACAGCTGTTGAGTAGAGAAACCATCGACACTGATCTCATCATTTACGTCATAAGGGTTTCTCTCATCAAGATTCACCGTGGACAGCGAAATGACAGCACCGTGGTTATAATAACCTGGACTGGATGGCATCGACGTTAATTCGATATTTTCTTGTTTTACATCCCTGTCAAAGTTTTTCTGAGAGGTAAATGAAAGGTTAAAAGCAAAGATTAACGTTCAGTGATACATTGAGATTCGTGGTGGGACGACTTATGTCCTTCACTGAATAGAGATAAGCCATAAGCGCTTGATATCGGGCCGACTTTATGTTGAAAAATAAAACCCGAAAAAGGTATTAACTGATTGCAAAGCAACTTTCCGTCCCTCATATTCCATGCAAAGCGGCTAAAATTGCGTCGAGTTGCCGAGTTATATCAGCTGCCTTAATCTTCTTTGCCCAGCTGTGCTTGTGGAGGTAAAGTAGTTTTCCTGAAGGGGCTGTTCATTAAGAAGCCTAGCTTCCCTCTCAGGTAATTTAATTCCTCATTATGCCCCTTTCTTTTTCGGGGGGAGAGGAGGGGTATTTTAGTTTTGTTTTTTTATCCTGAGCGCGAAACAAGAGATGCGATACAGAATCTCTTAGCTTCGTTTTCAGATCGCAATTCTGCGTAAAAAAAATCTCACTTAGTTAGGTAATAAAAATGCGAGATTTTACTCCATTTTGCTAATTTGTCATAAATACGTTCAGTTGCGACTCGCTTCGCAAAACCCCTCCTAGAAACCAAATTACCAAAATTTAATAGACAAGTAACTTGTAACAAAATGCTTACTTTAAAAGGTTCGCATCTTTCCAACTCATCACTGGGATTGTATTTATCTTCATAAAACTTTTCCGTCTTCTTTCCTCCAGAGGCTAGATTTTTAATGACCTAAAGCATAATGAGCATGATTTTTACCACAGATACATACGTACAGACTTGGCGTAAAAGATAAAGTTATTTCTTTTATCCAAAATGTATTGACACGTATTATACAGAAGACGATAAAGCCTCTTCCTTTCCCATTGACACCAAA